GCGCCTTTGTCCATGAAAAACCCCATTTGTAGCTATTGTTTTCTCTGATTTCATTGGCATTGTAAAAGTAATAAGTTAACGACTTGGATCTTGATGAAATTCACAGGGACATAATCTGTCATCTTGTGCACATTCTCGGATGAAAATAGCTATTCCTCATTCTTCATTTCATCAATTCTCAACAGTTTTTTCAACGTCATCAATTACAATAGAAACGAGTAGATATTTATTTTCATCACAGCTATGCCACCTTACTGAAACCCTCCATACATAACCTACCATTTCGCAAGGTCCTGTTGATAGGAAACATCTTTTTTTTATAGTAAATCGCTCCTCGTCCTTCCATTTAATTTGACCAAACTGGCGTCCTGGAGGCATTTATTCCCAAACCTTCAAAGTGCGAAGTGAAAAAGGAGCAAACTTGAAAGATTGGCAACTCATAAATGAGAACAAAGACAATAAATGAAAAAGACACGCGACCTTGGCCGTACGAAAGTAAAAAGTCCAAGTCTTGTTTCAAATCGTTGATCGAGATCGGCATCGTAGCGCAAAACCGGAAGCGATCGAATGACAGTTCATGTACCTGTTGCCACTGGATAACAACATGTGTCCAGCGATGCGCGTAATATCAAAGCACCTGAACGCCAAGTGTAAGTTTTTTGTCACAATCGCGGCTACTCTTGTTTTGTACCGCTTGTGCCAATAGGGCCATTTATTTTTCTTTACTCACAAACTTGACATTGAAAATTTATCCCAAACCGCGATTTCCAAGTCGACTCATCTATTTTTACACACGCTTCAATAGCGACGGTACAACACTTTTTGCCGACTCAATTGTTTTATGTTCCCTCTTGGCGGTCTTGTAAATTTTTTTTTTTCTTTTAACACGCCAATACATACACACCCACTGTTACGCAATACAGTAACGATCGCGGCAAATAAAGATGTAGGAAGTGATTTTTCTGCTCAATTTTCTATCAGTTTACGCGCCCGCCTCACGGATGCCGAGGGAGACGCACTCGAACGGGTATCACCGTAGAATCCTCACAAGAGCACATTAATTTTACGCAACGCGGGCCATTGTGATATTGTTATGTTGGACTGCTCTATGTCTATAACTCATATGGTATTGACTAGTGGAAATTCACCTTGTCATGCTCGAATTGAGACTTTAATTTGTAAGTACGATACGGTGCCCTCTGCTCTGGCCGACCATGCGAGTCGAGTATCAGACTTGTCGAAGCATGATTTTAATCAACTATTTTATCTCTTAGATGCCACAATCTTGATGTTATCTCTAACTGTCGAGTATACAAGAGCAGTAAAAAAAAAAAAAAAACTCCATTCACTTGCAATGGCACCTCAATTTGGTACTCACGGCTCACATTGTAGTCTCCGTCGCAGATAGAAAAGCAGAGCCAGAGATCGAGGGACGTAGCGATGAAACGGCAAGAAAAACCAAAAAACCAAAAATCGGCACACGTATCACAAGGAAAGAGACAATCGTCACCAGAGCAGCTCGAGAAAAGCGCCAATGTCCTTCGTAGAGTCGTCATCAGTCGCGAGTTTTGGAAAATCGAGAGCAACAGCGGGAGCGAGTATAGCCGAGTAGACGCGCAATCGGCCTCAAATCGGCAGTGAAAACCGACCCGCGTGGTACTACCGCTGCGTCAGTCGAATCGTTGGCGCGATTCTCTTTCTTTCATACACGCGTATGCATACATGTACGTGTGACGTCACGAAAAGGTTGTCAAACGCGTGGGGCTCGTGTGACGTGTGCAGCAGCTCGGTGGCCTCTGAGGAGAAGAAAGAGAGTGAATTAGAGGAGAGCGAGCACCTCTTTTTTTTCGTGGGAAATTTCCCTTAGTCGAGATCCATAGGAAGATGGCACGAAAAGAAAAAAAAATGCAAGACATCCAGATCGAAGGAGATGAATTACGCTTTGCGCTCGGAAAATTTGGAAATTTTACCTTCAAGAAAAGTATGCCTTAGCGCGGAAAAATCGAGATGTCATTTTTTTTTTCCAACTGCCACTCACCTAGATTGGATTTTAGTTGTTACCGATATTTTTAACGATTTTACGGAAAAGTTTGCTGTACATGCGTTTACCCCAATGGACGAGGAAAACCTTGTTTGTTTTTTTTTTCTTCATTTTTTTGCGGGGAAAATAATTCCGTTTGTTTCTTTTTTATTATTACAAGATGAACTCTGGTTTTCATTCACTCTTGGTGAATCATGAACAATAAAAGCGAAAACAACTGTTTCACTTGTCTCTATTTTATCGTCCTTTTGTTGGTTTAACTAAAAATTATTCCAAGATAGTTGGGAAATTCAACCACTGAAGATACGACAGTATTGATGAGCTCGTCATTCATTCAAAGATGTATTTTTTTCATCAGCTTCTGGATTCTCGTCAGTCATCCAATCATCGATTGAACGAATCAAATTTGCTCTGCAAAAACGTTGTTATTGTTTGCAACTGAAAACCAGAGTTTTATACGCTTGGTGATCTCGTGAACTCGATCTTTTTGAAAATTTTTACTTGCTATATCGACTGGGTTTTGGTTACTGTCATTATCTTTCCGGATGAATCTTGTAAAGTAAAAAAAAATCATTTGAAGCGTTTGCGTAACTTTTCTTATTTCATTACGTCACATTCCAATTGGTAATAATAGAAGTTGATCCGGTTACTATTTTGGAGGAATTAATTTTTTTTTTTTTTTTTTCATACATATATATACGTCATAAAATTTTTTAAGCTCCACAACAAACACATTAGACAGCTAATTAACTTTGCAACTCAACCTGTACTACTGATTTCTGTGATTGTAACGAAGTTGTAAAATTATTTTAATCAAGGCCCAATATCCGCTATTTTTGGGACTAAAATATACTTCTGATTTTCCTAGTAAGTTAATTCACATACAAATAGTAGACAAATGTATTGTTACCATTTTTACGTGGACGCCATCTAATGTGTAACTACAAAAATATGCCAGCTTATTCATGAAATGAGTAGGGTGTGCGCTTTAAAGCAGCTGAACTTTCGTATTGTTTGTTGCTGTTCGGATGAGATCATCAAAATTTAATTACTTATTTCACGAGAATTAATAAAAAATGAGTCAAAAAGTGATTTTTATGTATCTGAACATGCTCGAAACATTGCGCACTGATTGTCTCATGAGTAACTACTCAATGAGAAACGTAGCCTTATCGCCCTTTTTTTCATCTCTTTGGAGACTGAATTGATTTTACCATACTGCATGTAGTATGACGATTGCACTTAATATCACACTTGTATTAATGTTTTTCACGTACTCAACGTAGAAAAAATATATATAGTCTGGCTGGATATCTTTATCCACCAAAAATAAAAGGCCGATACGGCTGAGAGTCCTGCCTCTAAAAAATTACTTGAGTAAGGGCAACGTTGATCGGGCGATTTAGTAAAGATAACATTATGCTATCGTCACTATCGGTTATTCGCTTGCAATCGGCAAGCCAAATTTTACAAAAGTCAATTATAATTGTTTATTATAAATCCAAAGTGTACTTTAGGTGTGATTGAGTATGTGCTTGTGTGCTGCAGTATACGCACTCGAATGTACGCAAATGCTGACGTTAGTTTTTATTTTGCTCTTGATTATTTTGCGAGATGGTAAAGCCCCCTGAGTAATAAATAAAAAAAAAAAAAAGAAGCAATTAAACAAATAAACAAAAGTTGTGTTTCAGTCATCGTTCAGGGAATCACTTGTCAAGAAGAAGAAGAAGCAGCAGCAGCAGTATATATTATAACAATGAATCAGTTATAATATTATTAGTCAAGTGCGCGCGGATACGTCTATTTATTTAACAACACGTGTACACTGTGTGATAATCGACTCGAGATAACGCTCTTTTTTTTCCTTCATTAAGTAGGGAAAAAAAAAAAAAAAAAAGAAAAGAAGGGAAAAAAGAAAAAATAATGGAAAATGCAAAAAAAGCGAATTATTGCGATCGACTGTGTTGGGGGGCTCGACTCGTTAGCGCCAATATTGTCTCATGACGGACGAGCCTTCGCAAGTATATGTAACACTTCGAGGTGAGAAGCACCGCGAGCTTCGTCATAAATTTCATGAATAAACCCGCGTTTAAATAAATCACTTATCGAGCCGGTGAGATGCGTATCGCTCTCTCGCTTGGGACTATTTTTGTTTTTGATCGGACAAAGGAGTTACGTCTCCGATCGAAAGATTGGCTTTTTTTTTCGAAAAAAAAAAAAATTACAGGATCGAGCAAAAGGAAGAAAAACAACGTTTTGGGGGGTAAAAAAATTTTACCCACCTTTTTCCAGTGGCAACGTTTTACGTGGAACATTGTTGAAAAAAAGTAATTTCGCAAACCTCGTGCGCGAAAACAAACTGGCGACAGATTACCAAGACGGTGTTGGGACATGCGAGGCACGAGCTGTTATCAGCCTACAGCGTTCCTGCGTAAGTTTACATTACAACCCACTGTCAAAGAAAAACAAAGGTGGCTGAATTTCGGGTACATATATATACTCGGAAAATCGGCACTTTTGCCGGATCGGATGAGGAGCACTTGCCGGTAACACCCGAAATTAATCCCCGATTGCAGGTGCATGACCCTCGGGTTGAGTCATAAGCAATGACGACAGATCGTGTAAAAGGTATCGGCGATGTAAAAGAGCATTCTGGAGGCGCTACATGTATAAGGTGGGACGTGCGTAAGTACGGCTCTTTGCGTACGTGATCGAGGAAAAAACAGTAGTCGGTGGTAGGCCCGTTGTTGTCGGAGAGGAGTGTCGCAGGCTCAGCGTGCCTGAGATCGACAGAAAGAGAGAGAGAGAGAGAGAGAGAGAGAGAGAAAAGGTAGGTGGGGGCACCCCTGACCCCCGGCGTCGTCGTCAGCGGCGGCGCTCTCGGCTACTGCCGCGGGTGAAGGGAGGCTGCGCTTATAACGCGCCGGCGAACCGCCCTGAGGACGCATTCGCTCGCAAGCGCAGCTGACGAGAGTATAAAGCTACCTACGGTCAGCCCAAAAATTTCTATTGCCCGTCCGATCGATTGGTTGGTCCTGTTTTTCCCCCATATTGTCGGCGGCTCTTGTTTCCCTCGATCAGCGAGCCGCGCTGAGAGTTCGTGACGGGTGGTATACGTGGATCCTTTTGGCTGGGACCATTTCATTGGATTCGAGCTGACGGTGTGGGACGCACGGAGAAGGAGCTTTCGATTTTGTCGACAAGTGGTCTGAGGTGGTTCAACGAAGAAGAAGAAGACAACCATGGCCGTAGCTGCTGCACAGAAAAACCGGGAGATGTTCGCCATAAAGAAGTCGTATAGTATTGAGGTGAGCGATGCTCCTTTTTTTTTTTTTTTTATTAAAATGTACAATTTTTTATTTTGCTGCATCCATGGTCCATTTAGAATAATATTTTTTCCTTCGTTTACCTTTGCGCGACTCGTTTGGCGATTTCAAGTGGCAGACCGGTTGGCTGAAGCTCGAGCTTGCGGTGTTTGAATTTGAGGCGCGAAATTTAAACTCTAGCCAGTCACGTTCCATTCGTTCGAAACGGTTGATTTTTCGTTATCTCTTCGGTCATGAGGAATTGTTGTCGAAAATACGTTTTACTGTTCAAATACCAATCGTTGCGTTACGCGGTCGGTGGAAAGTTCGGTAGTGCGTGAAAATTTCCGTGAGACCGATTAAAAGGAGTATCTCGTGGCCAAGAAGAATTTTGACATCGGCAATTTCTCCTCTCAAAAAAGAAAGGTGCGAAACATTGGTGCGACGCGAGTACCAAACTTTGCGAGCGAAAAGAGATCTGAACAAACAAGTCCGCCAACGAAAGTCCCTCTTAAGCCCAACGTGGTCCAGAGGTGCGGAAAAAGAGTCAAGACGATTCGAGAGATGGAGAAAAAAAACCTTAATTTTCATTTTCTTTCGCAAGTGGTAGGAAAAAAAAAATTACGTCAGCCATCGCGCGTGTTTCGTTGTCCATTGCATACGTAATGGTATACAAACGAAGAGATGTGACGCTCTTGACGTCCTCTTCCTTTTACCAGTAAAATTCTAGTTTCTCGAGAGAGTGACAGATTGTAAACAGCCGTCGATTGACGAGGAGAGAAAGTATTACGTGTTTTTTTTTTTTTTCCTCCTTCATGGCACCACTACGAATTGCTACGTGATTAACAAACTTTTCTCTGTCTTTATCGCCACGTTTACAATATCCGGTGTTTCAATGGCATTGCCATATATACTCCACTCCGATGATCCAATGTTCAGTCCAGATATGCATTATCTCGCAAACGTATCGTTTTTAAATATTTTAAAGTAAACTCTCCCAGGATTAATCTTTTTTTTTCAGCTCATTTGTCCGCTAATCTATTCAATTCGGGCTTAATAAATTTTTTATCGGTACAATATTGAGAGACGATGAGAAATAAAACAGAGCTCACTCGCACGGATAATTAGATCAAGAGTATCATAAATTCAAATTAATTCAATTACTGTGATGTTATATAACGCGGTGTCTTGGATATGTTAACAATAATCAGGCATTTATAATTTGTATGTCAAGAATGATTTGATCTTGGAAAAAATTTAGCACGTAATTAATAATTAAATGAAAATTAAATCGGTTTTTTTTTTTTTTCAAGCGTGGAAGAAAAAAGTATTACATAAACGATAAACTGGGGTAAATAATTTTTTTAATGCACAATTACGGTGTGCTGCTCCATATAATCATGCATTCCTTCAGGAACGAAGACCATCAAATTTTTTCGTTCTGCCAAAGATGCGGACGTGGCTATCTTCACGCGGTGTGATCGTTGGAATTGGGAAAGCTTTTAGTTCCGCATTTTCTCGTTTATCTTACATTGTAGATAACAGACAAAGCAATTGTTTCCGTAATCTCTTGTTATTGATTGATCACCTTCTCTATTTGACAGTTTCAAAAGTATCTTACTGACTCAGTGATTCGTGGGTCAGTATACTTGGACGAGTTTACTATTATTATTATTTTTTTTAATCCTCGTAAAAGTTTTATGTTTAAAAAATAAAACAAAAATTTTTTTCTTACAATAAGCACCACAAAATTTTATGAATTTAATGAAAATTTGGAGGTACTGTTCACTATCGTCATTATCGGGTACTTGTCTCACACGTCGCTTCCTCTTCTCTCGTACACTTTCACCGGCGGGGCACTCTGAATACATAACGCCCGCTGGATGATCGTTAACGATTATTTCGAGACGGTGCACCTGTTGTGCGTGTAACTTTGATGGATGACGAAACATTGAAGTTTTTTTGAAAAACATTTTTTTAGTCCACGCTTTAAAAAAAATTTATTTGTTTTTTAACAATATTCTCTGAACGTAACAAGCATTTACTCAATTACAAAAGCCAAATCAAAACCTCGACAAGAAAGTCTATTGTTCAATTAATCCTATTTTTTTTTTTTTTTTTTCGATGAATTTTTCAATCAGAGCAGGAGTAAAATAAAAAGCTACCTGTCTCTCTGTGGCCCTGACAGCAACTAGTGCTTACACTCCAATTGTGCCAAACACATGCCAACCATCGGTAGGAAGAACTGCGTTGCTCGGAAAAAAAAAATACTACCTCAATCAATCATAAAAAATGCGTGCGTCAATTATAAAAAAAAAAAAAACTCTGCAATCGCAAGCCGGAAACCACAAAAAGGGCCACCTCCGAGAACAGTCATCCGAGACAACTCGTACGCGTTAAAAGCTTAAAAAGCTCGATACACGCTATTCCTCCTCCCGCACATCAACGAAAATTAATTTTCCTCCTCCTGTCCTGTCGATCGAGTGCATTATCTAACCCCAAGGTAACGACGAAACTGCAGCAGGATGACTTCAAAAAATCATTTATCCTCGATCACGTAAAGAAGGCGGCGTCTCTATAAATAAGCAGAGTGGGAGGAAAAAAATTCATTACCCGATCTTTCCGCATTTGCATGAAAAAAAAAAAAAAAAAAAAAAAAAATTACTCTGCTCCACTTTTAACGTAATGTGCACTATAAACAAAAACAACCCATCACGCCCTTTGACGATCCTCTGCCAAAGGAGAAACAGAAGAAGTACCCACGTATAATTTGTATATCAAGAACAAAGGATTATTATAAATCGTCACCTCATCTCAGAACAACGAGAGAAAGAGATCCTGACGTTGCGCCTAAGGCCGGCTCCTATCTTATTGAGAAATCGAGCGTCCTTGTCTGCAGCAGTCGTAATTACCGCGAGCGCGTGTGCGTGTTCGTGCACGTACGCGTGAGCCTTTATAAAAATCTTGCTCGTAACGAAAAAAAAAAAAAAAAGAAAAAAAAAAAAGAAAAAAAAATACAGAGCAATAGTCTATATGTACCTGCTAACGCCATGCCCAGTGGACTAGAAAAAAAAAAAAATAGCTCGCGTGTATACGTATACATACGTGTAACAAAGTCTCCTTGAAACAGAGCGCTGGACTGATGGTCCCGCTTCGCGTTAGGTGTCACGTGTTCGCTCTATATGTCTACCGTTACACGGAGCTGCATCAGGACGAGAGGCTCGCCCCCACCGATTTATGCTAATCGGTTGATTTTTTTTTTTTTTTTTTTTCTTTACGATCAGCGCGGAACTCGAGGACTTTTTTTTTTTTTTTCATTACCGCTCTCGCATCGTCTTTTATCATCGTCGTCCGTTAGCAGTTTTATCGCTTGCGTAACATTTGTCTTGGAATTTTTTCGTTTCCCCCCTCCATTATCTCGGCGAATTTACCGATCAATCCGATCAAAAGTCGATACTTATCGGTCACGCACCTTCCGACGAATCCAAGAGCGCAGCCCCGAAAACAACGTGCGGTGCATCGGCGCGTACACTCATCGAGTAGGCGATGTGCTCTCGACACGAGTACTTGGCCCACTTTGGCTGCGGCGCGAGATTTGCACTCTCACACTCGTGCGTGTCCACGCGAATGGAGAGGGACTCGCGGAAAAATGCACGTGTACGTGTGTACTTGTACAGTTGCCGGCGTAAAGCTAGTACGTAGGTATAATACTTACCGTGACCCTCGCGCCGATCGAGCCTCGCTATTAGATGCCTATGGTTGCTTACTGCCCTTGGACTGGACGCGTTCTCTGTTATAGGCGTGACGGGACGCTCTGGTGCGAGAAAGATTACGCGCCTATTCAGGAGTATACCGATTGTTCTTGTATTATGATCTACTGGTCAAAAAACAAAGAGAAAAATAAAACCTGTGTTTCGGTTGTACATTTTCGAGGAAAGTGGGGAATACAGTCTCGCCTCGTTCATTGTTTTTCGTGTACGTTAACTTCCAATTTTATCGAGAATATTGTCATTTTTTCTGAAACACTTGCTCCAGTTTCCATTTTTAGGGCTCATCCATCTATGTGGATTATGAGTGTACGTATGTAAGAATATACATATATATACGTTTAATTACTACGTTTGATTATTTACAGTGATTGTTTGTTTTCAGAGATATTTGTGAAAATTTAATTGAGTCTAGATTAAATTAGAAATAAAAAAAACTCGTCATAGTTTAATGGTAATGATTTAATTGAAAAAAATTTTCAAGTACAAGAAAAATGAATTCAGCAAAGAGCGCAGTAACGAAGCAGCGATTGACATAATCCACAATCTCGCTCATAAAGTATACGATTTCAGATATTCTGCAAATTTGTTAATGGAAAGTTTTATCGCAGCCAGGGGGCTTTGAATGCAATGTGCAATACAGAAAAAAAAAAAAAAAAAAAATCGAGACCCCTAACTGCGATAAAACTTTCCATTAGAAAAAAAAAAAAGATTATACCTTAATTGCATTCAATCGTATTCGGTAATCGAGGCTTGGTAATAAATTGCCAAAACGTGAAGGTTTCTCTCAGTTATCGCAAATTACAAAATTATTGTCGCGAGCCCGGGGAGGGAAGTTTCAGCGATACGCTTGTGATTCGCAACAGATTCACCCAGGCATGTGATCGGCGCGTGACTCCATTTCCTAACTTTCAAGAGCAGCGCATCTTTGACAATTTCGATATGCTTTGTGGTTTTTTCCTTGAAACAACACACGAGCGCAACTCGTTACGCTACGGAAGTGGCGTTGGTCCCTTTGTGTCGGTCCTTCCTTCCTTCACCCTAATTGTCACGATGACGTGAGATCGCGATCGCCCCACTCGCGTATACATGTATTTTCACACATGACTTTGGATTTAACGATCTGTACGCTTCCCTAGTACGAGATAATTGATGTTTCAGTCATCGGACATTTTCAAGTTCAATTTGTCTCAGCTTTACCTCAAACGTAGTTAATGGAAGCTTGAGTTTCGAAATACTCGTGTTGGACAATGTAGTAGAAACTTTTGTGGGATATTCTCAATAATAAAAAATAATAGAAAAAAAAAAAAATACTCAAACATAAGAGCAAATGTAGAACTTTGCTTTCCCAAAAAAAATTTAAAACGACGGTATTGAAACGATGGAAAAATGGAACATTATTTTTAAAAATCTTTTTCATAGTCAAGATAATAATGGTCTTTCGAACGGTAAATAAAAAGGTTGCATTTATTGCGTTTTCAGAACGGATATCCAGCGAGGCGCCGCTCGCTCGTGGACGACGCCCGTTTCGAAACGCTGGTCGTCAAGCAGACCAAGCAAAGCGTACTGGAGGAGGCTCGTATACGAACTAATGGTAAGTCACATGATTGTCTATACAGTATACATACGTCGAACATGTATTTTGGTTGTGGTATGTTGCTCCAGTTTGATTAAAACTTTGTGTTAAACAAAAACAAATATTTTTCATTTGAACGTATAGTTTCATTTTGTTGCTCGTTACAAATGTAATAGCTTATACGTGAAACGACTTTATTATCTCAACTTACCAATGTCACGTCTATATGTTGTTGTTGTTGTTGTTGTTGTTGTTGCATGAAGTATGTTTTTTTTTGTTTGTCGTCTCGTAAAAAATTAGATTCCGATCCGGAAACCTGCAACGAAGTGGATCAGCCCTTTGAAAATTCGTCCTCGTCAGCTTCCAGTGACGATGAACAGCAAGAGACTCTGGCCTGCGCTGCCAAGAAAGGCGGTAAATATCTCATTTATGTGTCACTTATTTTCAGTAGTAAACGGTTTATTTAAACATAATTTGTTTCAATTTTTCCATTGTCAGCAAAAGCAGAATTTGTTGAATTTATTCATTTATTTGATAAGTGTTGTGAGCATGAGCATGAATTTTGTGCGTTTAAATTCTAGAAGCCAAAGCAGAAGCATCATCCTCGGACGGCGAAGAAAAGGGTGGCGACGGTAAGTTTCAAGCGTAGATCAACTTTATCAATTTTCACGCATACGATCGAAAATTTCTATAGTGGTATAAATTTTTTGGAGTGAAATTTTTTCTCTACCTCTTGTCTTACGAAAATTTTTTTAAAGGCCTTAGCTCACTTGGAGGAAAAATTCTCTTGCAATTTTTTCGATTGCCATGTGGTTTTTAAATGATAAATTTACCAAGTAAATCAAAGTTTGAGTATCGTTTTTAGTATTATTTCATATGTTGTAATTTTTTTTTTAGTTTAACGCGTGTGATTGTTCTTTTAAAAATTCTTTTTCCCTAAACTCGAATTGTATTTCCACAGTTTATTATTCAATTGCTATCGATCTGAAATAACGAACAGTTGCATTGTTTTCGACTTTGACAGTTAAAAATAAAAAACTGTCCAATACAGTTAAAAATGCACAAGTTAATACAAATGGAATATTAAAAGGGAAGGCAGAAAAAGTGGAACTCTTGTATTTAACATTTTTCGTAAAAATTTTCATGCAATTATTTGAAAAAATAGTGAAATAATCCCATGCCACCAGCATTGATTCATAACTTCTCTCTTTGCATCAATTTTCTTTCTTTTTTTTACTGCCCTAATGAAATTCTTCCAAAAACTCGGTTCCTATCACTCTGCGATCAAACTTGATTACGATAGTCCATCGGCTCGAAAGTATCAAACTCAAGTAACTGCATCACACCCACCGATATCCCTGGATATTTGAAAAAAAAAAACTCTGCCACGCTGTAGACACCATGGCAATGAAAACTTTTATTGTTTTTTTTTTTATCCACCACAAATCAGAGATCATCCAGTCCGACGCGAGTTTTCACTTTTCCCTTCCCTGCAACCCTCACTTTGTCCTCGGCACGCTTTCATCGCCGGCAATTTGTGCTCTCGCCACGTCCGTTTACCCGCGCACACTTCCTACAGCCAACCTCTCGGATTTTAAAGGTCGAGCTTAAAACGCACATATAACGCAGTTAGTGACCCCCTCTCCACTCCCTCCCTTGCCACCCACTCCTACACGGATTCATTGATGTGAACGCTTTGTGATCACGTCCGCACTTTCGTCTCGTGCCGCTACCGACTCCACTTTTCTTTCTCCATTAGCTCTCATTACCTTTGATGCACGGAAATGGACTCGAAATTGCAGTCAGACTCCTTGTGAGAAGTTCAGTGAAGGTGTACGAAAAATCGTGTAGGATGGCATCGATGGGTCAGACGTCACTCTGTACAAAAGCAACAGCTGCGAGTTTCGTGCTTTGTCCTAGTCAATCGTGTCATTTTCTATCGCTAAAAGCATATTGATTCTTCATTTTATTAACTTACCTCATTCATTACTGCTCATACTTATTATTTCTTTGGATTGCCCTCCTACGCAAACAGATATGATTGTTGCAGAACTGAATCTCGACTCCCCTTACCATAAATATTACCATGTACTTTGGAGTCCTTGGGAAAAATCCTTTTGAAATCATCAGAAGTCACCGGAAATTACTCAAAGTCACCTGAAGTCTTTGGAAGTCCCATTTATGTTGATTTAAAATTAAAAAACGTTCAAGACTCCAGGAATTTTTAAAAGTCCCGAAACGACTCCAAAAATTTCACTGCAACACTCTTCGATGAAAAATTGTGATGAATAGCCAATCGATTCTCACTTCCCAATCGATGTTCCAGACTTCGGGCTAACGGAGGAGGAGCTCGTGCTCGCCCGGTCGATCGCCGAGAATCCCGAAGACCAGACGGTCCAAACAGCTGCCCTCGTACTTCGGCTGCGTGAGGGCATGACCGCTCTGCCCCGCATCCTCAAGACCATCGAGAACTTCAAGGGCCAGGTGAGCCACGTCGAGACCCGAGCGTCCAAAAAAGAGGGCCAGTTCGACGTTTTGGTGAAGGTGAACATGACCAGGCAGAACCTCTCCTCCCTGATTCGCAACCTGCGCCAGGGCTCGTCCCTCGGTGGTCTGACCCTCCTCGCCGAGAACACGAACGCCGTGACGGTCAAGGATCCCTGGTTCCCCCGTCACGCCTCGGACCTCGACAACTGCAACCACCTGATGACCAAGTACGAGCCGGACCTCGACATGACCCACCCGGGCTTCGCCGACAAGGAGTACCGGGCACGCCGAAAACTCATAGCCGAGATAGCCTTCGCGTACAAGTACGGGGATCCCATACCCAACATCCCGTACACCGAGACCGAAAACGAGACCTGGCGGCGCGTCTTCAACACCCTGGTCGACCTGGTGCCCAAGCACGCCTGCAAGGAGTACCAGCGCGTCTTTGAGCGGCTCATCGAGGAAAAGATCTTCGAGCCCCACTGCGTGCCCCAACTCCAGGAGGTCAGCGATTTCCTTCGCAAGAGCACCGGCTTCACCCTCCGCCCGGCAGCTGGACTGCTCACGGCCCGTGACTTCCTCTCCAGCCTGGCCTTCCGGATATTCCAGAGCACCCAGTACATCCGCCACATCAACAGCCCCTACCATACGCCCGAGCCGTGAGTACACACAAGTTTCTTTCACCTCTGCCGTTCAAACGCCCGCGTCGCGCCCCGATCGATGGAACGCCATGGACGAGCGCGAATAACAAAGTTACCCCCACCCCCTTCCCCCGCGCCTCTCTACGAGCTTGTAATGGAACTCTAATTGGCTTTTAACGACGCGATGGTGCTCTCATAACTCACTTCCGTGTACCTACTCGCTGCTGCAGAGTCCCCGACACTCGTTCTTCCTCCACGGTCGGGGGATACGTATACAACTCGGCCAAATTTCACGTGCATGCCCTGTTGTGTAGACGTCGTTCGCGAGCTGTGCTCTATACGGTGTAGTTATCAGAGGCTAAATTGAGATGAGCGGGATGTAGTCAAAGTTGCGTTACGCGTCAAAATAACCCGGGGGGTACGTGCGAGTTGGGATGGAAAAAACAAAAGAAAAAGAAAAAACTTTTGATCGGTACTCCTGCAGGGACGCGATCCACGAGCTGCTCGGACACATGCCTCTGCTGGCGGACCCGAGTTTCGCTCAGTTCTCTCAGGAGATAGGTCTGGCTTCGCTGGGGGCGAGCGACGAGGAGATCGAGAAGCTCTCGACCATATACTGGTTCACCGTCGAGTTCGGCTTGTGCAAGGAGGGCGCCGATACCAAAGCTTACGGTGCCGGTTTGCTCTCGGCCTACGGGGAACTGCTCCACGCTCTGAGCGATAAGTGCGAGCACCGGCCCTTTGAGCCTTCCACCACGGCCGTGCAGCCGTATCAGGTACTTTGTGCATTTCTTTACTTTCGATGCGTATTTTGTCAGTATATACATACCATATCTTTATCGGAAGAGTATACATACATACATAGGGTTCAGGAGATATGTTTTCATGCTTTGGAGGATATTGTTTGTATTCGTATTACCTCGGAAGGAGCAACAGTATATGTTTGTAACTATTCCAAAGGTCCTAAAGCACGCCATTGTCAATTTCAGACGTGTAAATGAATAAAAGTTTCGTTGAGTATAAAAAAGATATTTAGTTGACAGGACAACGCATTACGTAGTCTATACAAGTTATAAGAAATATTCCTTTATTACGGATGAATAATTTATTGGTTGCATAATTTGTTTGCAAAATTAAAAAAAAAAACTTTTTTTATTAACAAATCATTAAGAATTATCAATAATTATGTAAAAAACTTTTTTTAATCGAAAAACACATAACTTAAGGGCCTCCTTTATCCAGTATGTCCAAGCTATTAACATAAATATTTTTAAGCACTGAAGGTTATTAAACATCATCCTCCAAAGTAGCATTTAAATTCGTTTGCCAGAACCCTTATTCTTTCCTTATTAGATCCAATGATTTTGATTTTTGTCAGTTGTCATGTATTATATTATTGACATCTACGATTTTATCACTGATTTGAATTAATTTTATTGTCTTTCATTAAACATGTACTTACTTCAACTGTAAATAAAGTACAATCGCTATTTATTAGTACATGTCTTTAAGTATCACACTCCGAACTTGGCATTTACGGATAGACTTGGGCAAAATGTAACGCAATTTAAATACTAATATTTACAATATAATGTAAAAAAAAAAAAAAAACCTTAAAAATACTTTGACGATTTTTTTCTTTTAAATTGTATTGTATTTTTTTAGCATGAAAATCATCGAAAAAATTGAGAAAACATTCGTGCCGAAGTCCGTGTACAGACATTTAATTATAAATATATAATTTTAAATATATATAAAACACAGGACCAGGAGTACCAGCCGATCTACTACGTGGCCAACAGTTTCGAGGACGCGAAGGAAAAGTTCCGGCGTTGGGTAGCGACGATGTCGCGGCCGTTCGAGGTGAGGTTCAACCCGCACACGCAGAGCGTCGAGGTCCTCGACAGCGTGGAGAGGCTGGAGGGCGCATTGTCCCAGCTGAACATTGAGCTGACCCACCTGACGAACGCCCTCAACAAAATGAAGGTGTCGTTCGCGTAAGGTTTCGCTGGGCCGGCCTCGTACTGCGGGCCAGCATCGACAGCGGAGCCAACTAGTGACAGTGACGATTGTGGTGATGGTCGGGAGGACGCGCTCGCCGATCGCGAGAGGTACCCTACCGGGGGATTTGGTGGTTGTCGGCGTGGGGACGGTGACCGCGGTTGGAATGATTTTAGAAACGGTAGGGCTTTTGCTGATGAGGTCAGGAGACGCGCCCGGCTTACGTGGCTTAGGAACCGGCGACGCTTCTGCCATGTCCTGTGAGCTTTTCCGTGATTATGGTCATGATAACGCACGAGTACAAACGTTAAAAGAACAACAACAACAAATGTGTGTTTTAAGAGAAATCAAAGTCGTGGTCCATTGTCACTATGGAACTTGTTATATGACACGAGTCTAGTTTTTCTGGCTGCTAAGATTCAACTGTATTTAATATTTATCGGAAGGAGGACCACACGTCAAAGGCACAATAACTAGATGGTATTGTATTCAATGACTTGGAAAGTAGGAAAAAATATATTTCAAATAAAATGCATGCTCTAAAATATCGTGTACTCATGTGGTATGTTGAAGAAAAATGATTAAACAAAAAAAAAATAATAATAATTAGTTGCAACAAACTTCGGCTGGCCGATATAGATTCGTCGAATGTTATGTTTTAGGAATAAAACCGTGTTTATAAAGGCGCTAGTTTTAAAGACAATTGAATCGTTATTGAAGAAAAGGTTAAGCTTTCACGACATGGTAGAGTTTCGTTCATTATCGATTATATTCATTTAATGGTGTTAGATAATTTAAACTTTGATTTGCTACTTCTACTCTCTGATTATTTTTTAAAATTAAATGCACAAAAATGGACATCAACGAATTTTAAGTATGAATTAAGATACATATAAAAATGAGCCACGTAGGTTATGAATTCATAATTTATACAAATACTGAAAAAAAAAATCATTGAGTATGCAAATGAACTGTTCAAGTACCCTTTGAATTGAAAAAAAAAAAAAAAAGGAACATGTTTAAAACCCCAAAATGGCAAGCCAGTCTCAATGATTTTTTCTTTCTAAGCAAAAAAGTAGGCCACCACTACGATTCATATCCACTCAAAGCCACTCGTCATACATTCATAATAAATATATACTTCCTATTCCTCCCCCCTTTGTATAAAGTCTCTCTTTCATTTTTATTTTCGTCTACTTTATATCTATTATTTTTTTAATTTAATTTTTTTTTTCCTTTTCCCTTTTACACGCAGAGGAGCCCACGTGCGGATTTTGGCATGCACGACTTGAAAGTATTATTAGTTTGCGGATAAGAAAAAACACAAAAAACGCTCGGAGAGCCGGACACAATAATTATTTTCCCTTTTTTTTTTTTTTTTCACTTTGCATTACATATACCTGCAAAAACTTTTTCTAACACAAAACCAACAATTTCTCCGACTTTGATTCTAAAGCTCCTGCGCCGAGCGAGCCGCGCGCGGGCGTATTTTACATAATATAATTTTTTTTTCACAGTACCATGTACTATATACCGTATTGTGTTAATTACATGTATTATGCCTCACACCATATGTTATACATACATATCTTACTTGTTAGCTTTGAATTGCGTACTCTGGCTAACTCACAGACGAAACAGCAAGCACCTGCCCTCAAATTACTAGGATTGTACAGTTACTATTTATACACATATGCAACTATCTTTCTTTTGTATTAATTATTTTTTTTTTTTTTTTTTTTTTTTTTTTTTTTTTCTTTACGATCAGCGCGGAACTCGAGGACTTTTTTTTTTTTTTTCATTACCGCTCTCGCATCGTCTTTTATCATCGTCGTCCGTTAGCAGTTTTATCGCTTGCGTAACATTTGTCTTGGAATTTTTTCGTTTCCCCCCTCCATTATCTCGGCGAATTTACCGATCAATCCGATCAAAAGTCGATACTTATCGGTCACGCACCTTCCGACGAATCCAAGAGCGCAGCCCCGAAAACAACGTGCGGTGCATCGGCGCGTACACTCATCGAGTAGGCGATGTGCTCTCGACACGAGTACTTGGCCCACTTTGGCTGCGGCGCGAGATTTGCACTCTCACACTCGTGCGTGTCCACGCGAATGGAGAGGGACTCGCGGAAAAATGCACGTGTACGTGTGTACTTGTACAGTTGCCGGCGTAAAGCTAGTACGTAGGTATAATACTTACCGTGACCCTCGCGCCGATCGAGCCTCGCTATTAGATGCCTATGGTTGCTTACTGCCCTTGGACTGGACGCGTTCTCTGTTATAGGCGTGACGGGACGCTCTGGTGCGAGAAAGATTACGCGCCTATTCAGGAGTATACCGATTGTTCTTGTATTATGATCTACTGGTCAAAAAACAAAGAGAAAAATAAAACCTGTGTTTCGGTTGTACATTTTCGAGGAAAGTGGGGAATACAGTCTCGCCTCGTTCATTGTTTTTCGTGTACGTTAACTTCCAATTTTATCGAGAATATTGTCATTTTTTCTGAAACACTTGCTCCAGTTTCCATTTTTAGGGCTCATCCATCTATGTGGATTATGAGTGTACGTATGTAAGAATATACATATATATACGTTTAATTACTACGTTTGATTATTTACAGTGATTGTTTGTTTTCAGAGATATTTGTGAAAATTTAATTGAGTCTAGATTAAATTAGAAATAAAAAAAACTCGTCATAGTTTAATGGTAATGATTTAATTGAAAAAAATTTTCAAGTACAAGAAAAATGAATTCAGCAAAGAGCGCAGTAACGAAGCAGCGATTGACATAATCCACAATCTCGCTCATAAAGTATACGATTTCAGATATTCTGCAAATTTGTTAATGGAAAGTTTTATCGCAGCCAGGGGGCTTTGAATGCA